CTATCTATCTATCTATCTATCTATCTATCTATCTATCTATCTATCTATCTATCTATCTATCTATCTATCTATCTATCTATCTATCTATCTATCTATCTATCTATCTATCTATCTATCTAGTGATTTCTATGATTAAATGTGCTATAAACCACCTTGTGGCAGGACAGAAATGATATCAATAAATCAATAAAGAACCCGATGAGGCCCAAACCTGCTTCGTGGCTAATAAATAACCATTGACACTATGGAGGAGATGAAATGATATATCTGAGCCACGGGCATGGCACAGCTGGCTGGCGACTTGGACAGAGCGTCTTACGCTGCAACAATTTGTGGCACATGTCCCTCTTTGTCCAATAAAGTCAGCCCCTTTCAGACCCATCTCGCTTGTGCCTTGGCTAGGACCTCCATCAATGAAATCTGAGCTCTGGGCAAGAGGACGGTTGCATGAGAAGTCATGCAAACACAGGAGTGTAACGAAGAGGCCCATGCTGATTGCAATGGAATTTTAGCCTTTGCTTGATATCAGTTTTGCTCGGTTTATATTTTACAGCCACCATTGGGGAAAAAAAAGACATTTAAAAAGCATCAAAGAGAAAATACCAACTTTATTTTTTGCAGGTCTCCCAGTGGTTTCCAACCCTCTATCAGTATCCCTTTCCCAGCATTGAAAAAAGGGAGGAAGGACAGCCTAACCCAGCCTAGTACTTTAAAAGCTCCCTGATTTGCAGAAATCAGCAAATGGAAGGAACACTAGGTCATAATCTGTACAGCAAAAAGCTGTTAAAAAGATAAGATGGGGGGGGGAACGTTGGCAACCATACCAAGAAGACCACAAGCACCATCTCAAAATTGCAGGGTGAAATATTTTGTTATGACTGAATCTCAGATGAGGGTGAAAGTTCAGTGACAGATGCTTGCGTGCTGTACCCTGGATAAGCAGAGGAGCCCTGCCCTGCAAAAAGCTGGCAACCCCACCTCATTTTCTCTCACTCCAAAGAAAGAGGCCAGCTACATTATGCTTTCCTGGAAATAGTTTTCCATACTTAATGCATCTGATAACCATGGTCAGAGGTCTATATGTTATGCCTCATCAAGTCACACCTGACGTAAGGGAATCCTAACAGGGTTTTCAAAATATGTGAGATGATCAAGGAGTGTTTTTACTGGTGCCACCCACCCACACACCCCTGCAGGAAATCGACGGATGACCAAGGCCCCTAAAAACTGATGAATTTGAAAGGCGGTGCCAGGAGGAGAGCTTTGGACTGCCAGAAAGAGAAACTATTAGAACTTGCATCAAAATCTGAACTCTCTCTGGAGGCCAAAACATTGTAGTGGAGGCTGTCCTCCTTTGGGGAAACATCCTGAGAAGGCAGGATTCTCTGGAAAAAGCAATCCTGCTGGGAAAGGGGGGAGGCAGCAGGAAAAGAGGAAGACCCCAATGTAAGATGGACTAATTACCTAAAGGAAACCACGGGCTTAAGTCTGCAAGAGCTAAGCAGGGCTGTTGAAGACAGGGCATTTCGGAGATCGCCCAGCCATAGAATCACCAGGAGTCAACATCCCATAAAAACCACAACATGTGCTGTGCAATCTTTCCCACAAACCTGCAAAGCACATGGGGGTGGGGTGGGGTGGGGGGGCTGTCAAGCATCCAGGGAATAAAGTGGGAAGTTGAAATGTATGAACATCACAACTAGGAGTGGATGGTGGTGGTGGGGAATCACTGCCATTGGTGATCTCCCATCAACCACTGCCTTTGAGATGATAGGATTTGTCATCATCCCTCATGTCCAAGGAGGGCCAGAATGGGGGGGGGAAGCTGCTCTTAAGCCCCCTCTCGGTGGGTGGGATATGCATTGAACAAGGGGGGAGACTTTGACCCGAAATTCCAAAGCAGTTCCCCACACAGCCTTTCCCTTCATTTTGAACAACAAAAAATTATTTTTTTAAAAAAAAATCTATTAATGATCAAATACAGAAGTAAATAAACAGAAACCGCCCAGAGTGACCCATCTTGCCGGATGGGTCTTTGTCATCATCCCTCATGTCCAAGGAGGGCCAGAATGGGGGGGGGAAGCTGCTCTTAAGCCCCCTCTCGGTGGGTGGGATATGCATTGAACAAGGGGGGAGACTTTGACCCGAAATTCCAAAGCAGTTCCCCACACAGCCTTTCCCTTCATTTTGAACAACAAAAAATTATTTTTTTAAAAAAAAATCTATTAATGATCAAATACAGAAGTAAATAAACAGAAACCGCCCAGAGTGACCCCTCTTGCCGGATGGGTCTCACGTCTTTTATTTATATAAAAGAATTTTTTAAATTGTTTTATTGATATCAAAGAAGACAAGTAGGTCAACAAGTCAGCGAGTTAAGCAAATGTACAGAAGATACAAGAAAGATTATACCTGATAAGGGCTGGGTCTTCAAAAACTGGACGGTTTTTTGCAAAATCTCCGCCTTTTCTACTTTGGGGTTTTTAAGTCTCTGCGGAGGGAAAAAAAATAACAAGACAAAAGAAGAGGAGGAGAGAGAGAAAAAGGGGGGGACGAGGAATG